AAAGGGAGTAATTGCTCCCATATGTGCTGGGCAGGCATTACCTTTAATCACAGCTATCTGATCATTGGAACCTAGAACACAATTTTACATCAGTCATAGAGAGAAAGTAATTGCTACCATAGGTACCAGACAGGTATTTCCTTTAATGAAATTACTATCATCATATATTTATGAGGCTATTCATAATTCAAATGAACAGTTACTCTTTGATTTGAAATGTTGTCATCTTCATTTGCAAGACAAGTGACCTTTAAAGTTTGACTATACTCATGGAATTGTTGTGTCTAAACATAGTTTGCAGATTCTATTGTATTTCTCCAAATATTTTTTTTACATTCATTATATGACTGATGAATGATGTATTCTGTTTAATGACTCGCAGCACTTCTATCATGCCTACCACCCTCACTAATTCACTTGCATTTCTGTCAGATAGTAGCAAGGTGTCAAGCAACACATTTACCACTTAAAGATTAAGAGACTACAGGTTCCTAGGTGTAAACTGGAATCACGGTGATGTAAATGTGAATGGTGACCCCTTGGACTCCTAGTAAAGTGAGGGCATGACTGCAGTCTACACTCACCCGCTTAGGGCTGGACTTGTTTGTAAACAATGTAGTAAGGGATGGTGGCATTATAAATATTGGAGAACTGGGGTGAGGAGGTGTCATACAGGGAGTAATTTGAAGGAACCTGACTGGATTCCCATCCTCCCTCCTAGGCTTTGAGTTTATTGATGTATCATGTTCTTTATGTTTCTATTACTATTTGCGTGTTTTCTTTATATTCCAGTTAGTCATATCTTGTGGTACCTTGGCCAATGCTGAATTTCAGAAGTTAGATTGCCCATTATGGGTTTGTGGCAGAGGTAGTCTGACAAGGTTGATGGCATAATGCAGACTCCATGGGTTATGTAAAGCATATTATCTACACACCCCAGCTGACTGGTTCATTTATAGATGTTTACTGACTTGGTACATTGTTTTTAGTAAAGCTGTGGCCATTGCCATATCCAACTTACCAAGTGTTCCATGTCAGTATTGGGTGGGGTGGAGTTGTATGTTATGTAATAAATATTATGAGTTTATTTAGCACTAGCACTATTTAATTTGATCCCCATGTTGGAACTAGTGTCTGACCCCCTGATATTAGGGTACTGTGGGTTATGGGCTCAACATGATATGACCACATGGTGGAAATTATTCTTCATATTTGTTTGTTGAGATAGGTGATTTTTTGTGCATGCGCTTTTCCTCAATCTGTATGTTGTGTAAATTTTGGTCTCTACATCAGCAGGACTGCTTAGAAATGCATGATGTGATGACATAAGAAAATCCAACACATTCTACTTTAAATAATTATCTTTATTTACATTTGTGTATCTATATCTCATATATGTTCTCCTTTAAGGTTTTTTGTTGTTTTTTTTTGTTTTTTGTTTTTACTCTTGATTACGGTTTTTCTTTCACTAATTTTTCTGCCTTACTAAAATACTAACATTTGTCTATATGTCTTTTTCTACAAACAAAAAACTCACTTCTTTGGAAGTGGGTCAATGTGTTTACTGACAAATGTTCCTTTGCATTTCTGTTGTATTCATGAGTATTCCTGTATCACTTAAAGACAAACATTGCGTTTTTTCATGTTTCTAAAAGTCATTTGAAAAAAACCTACGATAACCAAACTTCACAGAAATTTTCATGAAAACAGAATGTTTAGATTACCACAATGTAATGTTAGGTATTGTAATGATTTGATCTCAATAGGGCACTTAATTCCCCTAAAGCACTTCAGCTTGCTCAGTGGAGCTAAATTCAAGAGTCAGCAATTGCCCACAGCACCTGCCTCACAAAGACTTCTCATGAGCTGCATTGGGAAAGTGATTGGACAGCCCAAAAAAGTATAGGTCGGGGTTAGTAGAGGGCTTGCAGAGGCTTTAGAAAAGAGATCTGCCGCTCTTGTAAGCTGTTTTTATATATATCCCCAACTAAAAAAAAAAGCATAATTAAATGCATGCATGTTTTCGCTGGAGGTATATTCACTAAACAGCTATTTTATTTTAGATTATTTTTTTGTTGTATTTGGGCTGTGGAGTGACCATTTAAATCTTGCACATAGTATCTAAGTCATTGTCTTACAGTATCACATATTACTAAAATGTTGACTAAATTAACCATCATGATAATAAATATATGTTTAGACATTTTTGCAACAAATTATATAATATTTAAAGGTAAGATTTTCTCAGATATGTGAGATGTTCCATAACACTAAAATGTAGAAATAATTAGCCAGTCAGCGATTTAAAAGTGACAATAGCTATTATAATGTTTTTCTGCAACTCTTACTTTAACACATTTAATAGATATCAATTTATCAATATTTCTGTAAACAAAAAAGTGAAAAATGTCTCAATTGCATTACCAACATTTACCCATTTATTTTCTTCAGCAACCACTATAGATCCTTCAAAATCAATGACACGTTTTGAGCTTGTTTATATTGATTCATTTGTTAAAAAAAAAAAAAAATATATATATATATATATATATATATATATATCCCAAAAGCATTTCTTCATTTTGCAGACAACGTACTAAAATTACATTTAAATGCAATACATACAACATTTATAAGATGCCAATATAGTTACACACACAAAAAAAAGAAATCAGTTGTGTGCAATCTAAGCTAAAAAAGTATAAGGAAAACACATTAATTTTAGAATAAACTCTAACTTCTAACTGTATGCTAAAAGTTTCACATGGAATGCTTTTTTGGGTAATTATGCCTATATTGCCCTTGCCCTTCCTGAACCACTGCCTTGCCTCCCTACCCCAACAAAAATAATCTTGTCAGGGCCAAAGATTAAAGGCAGTAAATCTGTTTTTTTGTTTTTGTTAAAGGTATTTCATGCTGCTGTTTTGAGGGAGATTAACCCCTTAAGGACCAAACTTCTGAAATAAAAGGGAATCATGACATGTCACACATGTCATGTGTCCTTAAGGGGTTAAAGAGAGCACAACATGTTACTTGAAACTCTGTGTTAACTTCATATCCTGTTGTTCTGTGCACTAACAAAAGCAAATCAAATGGAAAACCCTTAAACGTTGTGCTGTACAACTTCCATTATTATCTGATAAGATTAAAAATTAGATCCCCTAATTACCTGAGTGACCTGGCATGTAGCCCCAACTTTCCCCTATGGATCAGTTTCACACCAGGGCACAGGGCCGGATTAACATAGGGGCTGATGGAGCTGCAGCTCCAGGCCCAGGCCCGTGGACTAGGCCCATTTAAAAAAAAAAAAAATTTTTTTTTTTTTTTTTTTTTTTAATACACACACTACTCTTAGTTTTGCCACCTGACTGGTATTTTACTGGTACAGCCGGTATTTGAGGCTGCCTGGCCGTGCCGGTATTGCAGTAATACTGGCAATACAAATGCAGATATTTTCCCCAGAATAAATGGAGATTACTCTACAATACCAGCACCAGCCAGTAGGGGTCACTGTGTGTGGAGAGAGGCAGGGATAGGAAGTTACAGCATATCCCTGCCTCTCTCTGCTACTCACTGATCTGTGGGGGAGCAGCAACACAGCACAGAGTCCAGACAGCAGCTCTACAGCTCAGGTAAGTGAGGGATGGGGACAATGGGGGACACATGGGGACACTGAGACACTAGGGGACACATGTGGACACTAAGACACTAATTGTCCCCAAATGTTTCAGTGTCCCTATGTCTCCCAGTGTCTGTGTGCCTAGTGTCCCCATGTCTCCCAGTGTCCCTATATGTCCCAGTGTCCCCATGTCTATGCCCACAACTGTCCCCATGTCTCCCAGTGTCCCCTAGTCTCCCAGTGTCTGTGTTCCCATGTCTCTGTGTCCCCTCAGGTGTCTTAGTGTCCCCAAATGTTTCAGTGTCCCCATGTCTCCCAGTGTCTGTGTCCCTAGTGTCTGTGTCCCCATTTCTCCCTGTTTCCCTAAATGTCTGTGTCCCCATGTCTCTCAGTGTCCCCATGTCTCTCAACGTCCCCAGTATCCTGGAGACATGGGGACACACTGAGACATTGGGACACTGGGAGAAATGGGGACACAGACACTGGGAGACTAGGGGACTGGGCGACATGGGGACTTTGACACTGTGATACATAGGGACACTGAGACACTGGGTGACTTGCGAGACTGAGACACTGGGAGCAATCCATCTATACAGCAGAATCAAACTGTGAGTAGTTTGTTGGGGATTTTACAGAATTTTCTCTGATGTCACTCCTTGTGGTTATACAAATGATTAAGGCTGGTATTTTTTTCCAAGAAAGGTGGCAACCCTAACTACTCTTCACATATTCTTGCTTAAAGGAGCACTATAGGGTCAGGAACACAATCATGTATTTCTGACTCTATTATGTTAAAACCAACACCCTGGCCCCCTCTTGCCTCCCTAAGTATAGTAAAATATAAATTGTATTCAAGTCTGCAGCTGCTGGCTCTGCCTTGGAATTGACTGTCTGTTGACATCATCAGAAGTGGTGGTCTGAGCAAATTACAATACTTCCCCATAAGATTGGCTGAGACTGTCAAATAGGCAGATCAGGGGCAGAGCCAGCACAACTCCAACATAGCCCTGGCCAATCAGCATCTCCTCATAAAGATAAATTGAATCAATGTATCTCTATGAGGAAAGTTCAGTGTCTGCATGCAGAGGGTGGAGACACTGAATGGCAGTGCTGTACACTAGGCAGTACTGCCCCAGGAAGCACCTCTAGCAGCCATCTAAGGAGTGGCCAGTGGAGTTATTGTCTCTGAAAAGACAGTGTTTACTGCAAAAGGCCTGAATGGAATGATTCTACTTACCAGAACAAATACAATAAGCTGTAGTTGTTCTGGTGACTATAGTGTCCCTTTAAGTTTGGAAGCTTAAGAGGGATGTGTGGGAACAAAACTTGTGTGGACTAGCTGACAATAAAATTAGTTTAGGTAATGCAGACGCTGGTCTCTCTAGCACTGTGGCATGTCCCCTTTCTTCTACACTCACTACATACACCTTTTCTCTGTCTCAGACTATATACCAGGAACTTCTGCCTGCTAGTAAGAAGGCAAGGAGACAAGAGGACCAGCGAGTACTAGGGGACAGTCCTTAGAAAGCACGGAGTGAGCGCATCATTAGATGCATTTATGTCAAGCTCAGGGTGCTGTCTGCATAGTATGCCCTTAGTTGGACAGCCTGCAGGATTGGCGGCAGCCTGACATGCATTCATGCCAGGCTGTCCTTCAAATTCTTTAGACAGACATGCCCCCTTTTTGGGCATGTTCTCCCCTTTTGGCAGGTCTGGTCATGTGATTCGCACCAGTGGCCCACCCTTTTACCCCACCCATTGACTTCCTGCTTCACTGGACACTACTGTTAGGGGTTATGGATTTACTTCAAAGCATAAATTAGAGAGAGAGATTAGCATAGAGTATGTGTTTTCCTATAGCTGCATCCTATGAGTTTCCCTCCAGCACCATCTCCATCAGATACATGACGCTAGGGAGGTATGACTGTTTTAGTGTTTTTGGTCGATAAGATTCCGTAATTAGGCCCATCATATTTGTCAGCACCAGGCCCAATGTGCACTTAATCTGGCCCTGCCAGGGCACCATGGATTGTGTGTACGCCACGGGGTGGAGTAGCACAAGAAAGTGTCAAGTGTAATAAATCCATATAAATACATTTATAATAGATACATTTATTATAGATACATTAATAAATACAAACTTAAACACTCACAAATAAAAATACACAGTATAAAAAGGTCAAGCAATTAAATCCATATAATAATCACCCAAAAAGGTCCAACTCAATAATATGGATCCTAAGGATAAGCACAAAGGGGATCCATGTTATCGAGGTGGACTTTTTGGGGTCATTATTATATGAATTAAATCGCTTGAACTTTTTATACTGTTGATTTTTATTTGTGAGATACAAACAGGCACACTCAAGTATAAACAAATGCTCACAAGCACACACAGACTAACATGCACTGATACTGGCACACATTCACAGATAAACACACACACATAAAGGCACACATACGCACATACGCTGGCAAAGACACACATATCTGATAAACAAGAGAAAAGAAACAAACACAGTGGGAGGAGCTAATGTATACCTTTAGCAGAATCAATGGAAAATCTAAATGGGAATCTGTTACAAAGTAGAAGGGAGTTACAGATTCCCATTTAGATTTCCCATTGATTCTGCTAAAGTATACATTAACCCCTCCCACCTTGTGTGTTTCTTTTTTCTTGTTTATCAAATTAGTGTGGGTTAAGGGGATACCCCATGGGAGTTTTGAGATTTTTTACTATATCACGTCAACTGTACACTTTTTTTTATTGAAAGACACACATATGCTCAGACAGACACAGACATACGCCCAAATGTACAGACATACTTAGTGGAAAAAGTGGTTGGTTAAATATTTAACGCTCATCTCCCTGCCTGACTGATATCTTGTATGAGAGTGTAAACAGAGATGCAGGGATATATGACAATTTATTTTAACTGTGCTGCCATAATCTCTTTTGTCCTACAGACAGCCCAGAGTGTAAAATTGTTAGTTGTATACTGCGCTGTGCTGCTCTCCCTGCAGCTCCCATTCATACCTCACAGATCAGGGCAGGGAGAGAAAAACAGAAATATTCTGGACTCCGGGCTGCCTGTAGGCCAAAAGTGATTTAGAGCAAAGGAGCTCTGGTTCATGCTGGAACATCCCCAGCCTTCCATAGCCATGTGTCTTGGGTTACGCTCACAGTATGATGTAAACTGTAGTGCTTGGTTACCAATTCTGATGTCACTGCCATAATGGGTAGTGTTTTTAATAATGGTCTAATAGTGTGGTATTAAACATCATCTCTATGCACACAAATTAATTTAATCAGGTGATGACATGACATGCTTTCTTTCATTCTATCACCAGAGATTCAACACTTTCTATCTTCTTTACTCTCAGAAGTTATCCAGCTGGGACAATTGATCCCAACATCAGTAACACAAAACCAGCTATTCATGCACATGGCAACTGTACCATATGCCCTTTGATAGATCTTTAAATTCTATAATATTAAAGGATACTTTTATGTAAATCAACATACTATTAGCTCAATGTGTATATCATGTTATTATACACTAACCTGCAGTGAAATGAAAAGCAGGTTGCAAAAGTTAGACCTAAAGTAGCTAATTTTCTAATTGTGATTCCAATTCAACACAAATCTGTGTTTATTGAATAAACCTATAATTATTAATTTGTTAATGCAGCCATTTTTACTGCATTTGTAATATGGCCTAATATTTTCAATTACCTGTTGGTTCTCCACAACCTCAGTTTATATGATAATCCCAACAGTGGCTGATTAGTATTTATAGTTCTTTTTATATGTCTACAGACATTACTACATCATGTCAATACTCAGAATAAAATAATGATAGACCTTATCTACTAAACAGTGCATTGTCTTGAATTGAAAATGGAATTGCCAGATTCAAGCTGAGATAGCTGTGACTATATCAGACTTGAATAATATTTCCTGCTAAACTATTTAGTCCTAAATGTTACTGTTCAGTCTTTCACTGAACACAATTCACTATTTAGTGAATACATCTTGTTAAATATATTTCAATATGTTTCAGTGTGTTTGCATTTTTCAGTGCTGGATTAATAACATACACACACAAAAAAAAAAAATTACAAAAAAAGCATGTATTCTGAAATTTAAACAAACAAAAACAAAAAAAGTCAGGACCTAATAAATCATTTGTCTTAAAACCAAACCTTCTTCAAAGCCGAGTTTCCCATGTCAAAGTTGTTTTCTCGCTCTCAAGAACAAATGAGATTAAAGAATTAAAGTCCTTTTATGTATTTTTTTTTTCTGTCAAAGTATTACCTTGTTTATTTTGGTCAGCAAACATCTATTCCACTCCCCTGTTTTCCCACTGCAGATCTTAATTTCATGCTCCTCTGAAACAAGATAATCAGCTGGTTTCAGCCTCTTCCTCTTTTTACTCTGTGTTAATTAGTCCCTTCACCACACTATCACAAGGTAACTTTAGATCTAAGGGAGTTCTAGCTCAGCTAGCTTTTGGATTGGTTTGATGGAGGAAATGAGTTTAACTACTGTAACTGGACAATTTAGAGATACAGTAAGAGGAAATGAAGATTGTGCCTACTGAGATTTAATCAATTTCATTTCCCACATGTAGGTTAAATATATACCTATTTCCTGCAAAGCTTTACTCTTCTGCCCTATTTAAACTGCATTCGGTGAATGCTAAATCGCTTTTATAAGTTTCTGATCATTATGAAGAACTTTTCTATCCTACTTTAAAAAATAAAACATGATAAACCAACTTTTTTATTGTAGTGATTATGATCTGCTGCATTAATAAATAGTTTGAAGTCAGCAATATGACAGGCAATAAATGAATTTTTTAAATGATCCTACAACAGTTTCATTCTTTTTAATTAACTGTCACAGATGACAGTAAAATCTGTTGTTGTGTTATTAATAATATTAATTAATAATAGCAACAACAATATAAAAACAAACGTATGTTGTGTATTTGCAACGAATAAATTTGCTATAAGAATTTGAATATTTTGATTAATTTGAACTCTGGGCTTATTTGTATTTTTTTTAAAAGAGACATCTTTTCAAATCCAGGTAGATATTCATATAATATACTTGCTTAAAGGGTGTTCATTACACTTTACACATAGCATGGCCCACTGGACTTGATGGAGCAGCCTTATTGCCCTCAAATGATGGAAACAGCGCGTCACAATCCCAAACATGCAGTGGCACTTTTAAAGCGTAAACATAAACAATACCTTATAGGAAAAAAAGCATCCCAAAGTATTTTTTGTTTTGTTCTTTTTTTAATGAAGAATCTATTATACACATTTGTTTATATCTCTTGTGTTTATGTGTGTCCTGGGATTATGATTACTTAAAAACAAATAAACAATGAAACGCTGTCTGTTCACAGAAAACACAAATTTAAAGTACAATAAAAACCCAAATGCACATTTAAAATAAACTGTATAGATAAATATGCATCACCATAAATGCTGAAAGATTAAGTCAAATTATATAGTTTAACTAAAATCCAAACAATCAGTGCAACATACATTTAAAATGAAAAAGAGTTGGTTCTGTTTGCAGCAGTAAACTAAGATGTCCAGGTCCTCTGGCAGGAAAACAGCCCTATCAAATATATTTAACTGTGGGCATGAGGTACCTTTCCATAGGGCTACATCTCTGTATGCGCCAAACTCACCTTGAGTAATTGTTATGATACAGCTCTATTTTGGGTTTATATGACCATAGAACCCAATCCCATTTGAAGTGCTAGCTAGCAGTGAAGACGCTTGACTTTGTTTTTGGATGAAAGTAGAGTCTTTTTTCTTAAAACCCTTCCAAACAACTTGTGGTGGTGTAGGTGACGTTGGACAGTAATTTGGGGGACTTCCTGACCCCAAGATGCAATTAACTTTTGCAATTCTCTAGCTCTGATTCTTGGAAATGTTTTTTTTATACGAACCATCCTTTTCACAGTGCAATGAGACAATATAGACACACATGCTCTTCCAGGTTGATTCATAACATTTCCAGTTCACTGTAACTTCTTAATTATTGTCCTGTTGATGGAAACTAGCATTTTCAATGCTTTTGCTATTTTCTTATAGTCACTTCCCATTTTGTGAAGTCCAACAACCTTTTGTTGCACATCATAGCTATATTCCTTGGTCTTACCCATTGTGATGAATGACTAAGGAAATTTGGCCTATGTGTTACCCAGGGACGTATTAGCCGCGAGGCAAACAAGGCATTTGCCTTGGGCGGCATTTTTAAGGGGGCGGCAAAAAACGCCGCCCCCCAAATGCCCAGGGCAGATGCCTTGTTAGCCTTGCGGCTAACTGACATCCCGAGCGGCCGGCGAGGGAGCACTTCCCATGAGCTGACTGCTCAGCTCCCTCGCGCGTCGGCGCAAAGTGAGGCTGGGAGCCGGAAGATGACGTCATCTTCCGGTTCCCAGCCTCACTCTGCAGCCGACGCGCGAGGGAGCTGAGCAGTCAGCTCATGGGAAGTGCTCCCTCGCCGGCCGCCCGCCTGCCAGCGCCGCCCGCCCTGCAGCCACTGGACCACCAGGGAGAGAGACACCCCCCCAGCACTCCCAAAGGTAAGGAGGTTGGGGGGGGATTTAAATTAAAAAAAAAGTTAATGTGTTTGTGTGTGTGTGTGTCTGACTGTGTGTGTTTGTGTTTGTGAGTGTGTGTGTGACTGTGTTTGTGTCTGT